CGCATCAATCTGCATGTTTCACGTAATCCTTTTTATAACTGAGCTTCGTTTTGCTTTTTGCAAAATTGTGCAAATTGTATGTGTTCGCATGTGCGTATAACTTTGTTACGTTTTTTTCTTTTTTTTTTTTTTGAACTTTATTTTGTTCAGGGTTTAGGGTTCAGGGTTTATTTAATTTTTATTTCTTGCTCCCCCTTGGCAATATTCCCCTGTGGCGTGTTCTTTGCTTAATTCCGTTCAGAATTTTTGCTGCGCTTGGTTCGTTTCGTTTATGTCGTTTGCTTGGCTATTATATAGTGTCTTTGTCGATACTGGCTGCCGAGCGCCTTACTTACCAGTGCGGTGCATTTTACGCAATTGGGAAAAATGGTATACTGTATGTGCCATGTCATGTATTGCACTGCATGGCGCTGTGCTACATGTGCATTCGGACGATCAACTTGTGCGTGTTTTCCCCGTCTGCACGAGACTCGCCAAATTCGTGTGCGCGGAGTTAAAGGTAAAAATATGCACGGACATGTGCAAGCGTATACAAAAATAGGAAAGCGAAAACACGTGTGGATAAATGTCCATGCAATGGAATGTATACAAGGGACCTACGCTCGCTCACGTGGTGTATGGCGAGCGTTTTTGTGTCAACCCCTCCTCCTATACGTAAATATACGCAATGGATTAATCAAAGTGGGGAATTTTTAAACGGGCACATGAATGTGTATATATGTACATGTACGCATAAATATATTCGCACATACTTCATGCCAAGTGTGGAGGGTTACCCAGGACATGTATTTTGAATGCTTAACAAAACAGCTCTTGCGCAATGTTTTGTCAACAACTACTCTATAAAAATAAAAGGGAAAGGACTGAATGAGTTAAAGTGAGCACGTGAAAGAAAGGATATGCGCTACTTCCCCTTCAGGACGGAGTTATTAATAAGCACGCATACATTGTACATTCATATGCACGCCCATACGTTCCATGATACGTATTGTGTATATGCGCATTATTTTTCTGCCCAACTTTGCTTTTTTCTTAAAAGCATAATCTTTGCTTTAAAGAATTTTGCTCTATTTCATAACATTTGGTGGGCAGTAAACGTTGCGGAAAAAAAAAAAAATAAACAAATAAATAAATGCACAAAAAAAAATAAACAAAAAAATAAAAAAATAAAAAGCAATAAAATGACAAAATGTCGAAAAATAATAAAATAAATAATTTCATAAAATATGGTACTAAATCTGCACATTAAAGATGCCGTTTCCCTTGTTTAACATTTCTCCTTCTCTAATTTAAAAAAAACACGCGCTTTTCATTTTGCGTGTCCATCACACCTTTGCCAAATACAATTACATAAATATAGTGTAGTACACAAAAATTCTCTTTTTTTAGCAACATATATTTTGTCTCATTTTATCCTCCTTGCAAGTAATTCAATATAAGCTACATTTTTCTATTACTATTTTTCAGAGTCAACAAAAGTTGGGTAATCTGTTAAAATATGGTCCGTGCCTCTATTGTCTTATTTGCTATTGCCGCATTAGATGAATATATTTGCTCCGCAGAACAAAAAAATAAAAAAAAAAAAAAAAAAAAAATCAGGGAAAAATGAAGAAAAAACAACGAAACGATAAAGTATCAAATACTAGAGAAGATAAAAAAATACGCAAAAATTTAAAACAACCAAATGCGTTCATTGTCAAAGTTCTTACCTTTTAAACCAAAAGTGCTTGCACGCAAAATTCTAATTTTGTAATCAACCTCAGCGCAAAAAAAAAAAAAAATGGCTATACATAAATCGTCGCAGTGCCGGTCAAATACCAGAGCGCGCCGCATAAATATACAGCACATCTTTCGTAGTACATATGTTCATTCCCTTCTACATAAAATAACATTCCGTTCGAGCGACTTTATTTTGAAAAGCGTTTCCCCAAGGGAAAAGAGGAACACTCGTTTGTTCATACAATATTGTAGTTTCGCCTTTTTTACAAAGTGGAACGCAATAAAGGGAGACACCCCCGCGACATTGCATGTGCCGCGTGACGGTTGCACATTCGCCAGCACACAATGCTCTTGGGGTGAATCAAAAACGAAGAGAGAAAAAAAAGGCAAAAGAACCACTAGTATGTTGATTGTAAAAATGTTGCCAAAAAATACATGTCTAACTGGGAGGTGGCACATTATTTCGCATGACACATCACTTTTGGGGGGGGGGGGGGGGCCAATTACGTGTGCATGTGATTCAAGTCTGGGCAATTTTGCCCCCCTCCGAGTGGAGGCGTCTTTTTTCCGCAAGGTAAAATTTATAATGCAAAAAAAAAAAAAAAGGGTTGACATATAGGCGCAAAATGAACAAACGGGCGAAAAACGTATGAACAACTGAAAAATGCTCAAATGGGGATAAAAAAAAAAAAAAAAAAATAATAATAAAATAAAAAGAGTTGCACTAGTGAAATGCGCAGCGAGATGATTCTCTTGGTGTATTCTGTCTCTACATGTATTACTAATGTTCTCGCTTTTTTCCTTGTCGCTCCTGTCCCCCCTACGCAAAATGGGAACCCCTTGCGAGGGTTACACTGTGCCATCATAGACAAGTTCAAATTCGCGCAATGGACAGGTGTCAAAACTGACCACCTGTACGCTTCTTTTTTTTTTTTTTTTTTTTGAAAAAAATAGCGACAAATTGAGTTGCACATGGGACACATGGTCCCAATGGGATACACACTGTTGAAAGTTTTGTGCCATCCCCCATTTGGCCTCTTCCGTGCTTCAGAATCCTCGTGGCGTTTATCCCTTTTTTTATTTTTTTTTGTGGGGAGGTGAGTTTTTTTTACCCCACTCCATTCTACACCGGCAGAAACCACTTCAGGTGCTGAAACTTCTTCTTGAAGTTGTACAAATGCTTGTTAAACTTTATATACAGCACAAACAAAACGGAGGGGGCCTTATGTGTGGGGTAAATTTTAATAGATGAATTGAAATAGACTAAGGCCTTGTGAATATTTTTGGCTACCCCTATGCCGTAATAATGCATGAACCCTAAGTTGTAGCAGGCCCGCGCTAGGGTTTGAATAACGTAAAAGTTGTTTGGGTAGTGCGAAATAATGCTTTTGTAATGGTGATAGGCTAGCTGGTAATCTACCTCGTTAAAGAAGAACATTAGTCCGTAGTTGAACCGCCAGCGGTCGTTGAAGATGAGGCCCTGTTCGTCCACAAAGTCGGCGGAGATTACTTCGTCACTCTGCTTAACCTTTTCATCCCCGCCAAGCTGCTTAGTCTTCCTCACGGCACCGGACCGGAAGAGACACGCACCAGGGTTTACATCGTAGAGTGGGTCAAAAGGTAAGCTGTTCTTGGGATATATGCTGACGTACAAACCGTGCCCCTGATAAGCGTAATCGCCAAGAGTGAAAAGTGATTTAAAATCATTATTTTCTGAAGCCATGGCGAGGAATCTACTAGCATAAACTTTCTTCGCTTTATCATTAGAGGGTAAGAAGAGAGCAAATTTAGGGTTGTTAATATATTGAGATATGCCTATTTGTGATTGAACATTTCCCGTTTCTGCAAGTTGAGCCATGAGGAACAAAGCCTCTTTCATTCTTCCCTTTTCTGTATATCTAATAATTTTATTAGAGGTGTTCAACACGAAGGAGTTATTTTCAGCCACCTTGGCCAGCAAAGACAAAGCCACTTTGCAATTTCTGTTGATGATGATCCCATTGTAGTGCATGAACCCTATAATGTAAGCAGCTAACACATTTCCATTATTTAATGACTTGTAAAACCAGTAGAAAGCGTTGTGAAAAGATTGTGTAATTCCAACGCCACTTAAATACAAACATGCTAAATTGAACTGAGCTGCTGACAAGTTACTCTTTGCAGCTAACTCGAAATAATAAAATGCCAAATGGGGATTCTTTTTAAAAGTCCCTAACCCAAAGAAGTGTATATACCCTAGCCCATTATAACTTAAAGGGTCGTTCAATTTATTTCCTCTAATAAAATAATCAGTAGCTTTACTATAATCCATTTTTACACCTAACCCTAGGAGATATATATAACCTAATAAAGATATGGCCTCGGAATTATCATACTTTGCTGCCCTGATTAGATATGCGAGTGCTTTTTTGTAATTTTTTTCAACCCCGTATATGCCCATGAGGTACCTGCGTGCGATCATGGTCAGTATTCTGTGGTTGTCATGTAAAGACGTTTCTATAAAAAGTTCAATATTTCGAATTTTTTTATTATTCATAGTGTACTGTTCATAACGTGGTATGCTTAGCTTTATCAAATCAGTCATTTCGAAATGGGTTCTACTATCTGCATTGATGATCCCGTTTGTTAGCTTTAAAAAGTACTTAGATGCAGTTTCACAATTCTTCTCCACCCCATAACCATTCATATATCTTATCCCCAACGATAAAATACTTCCAGGATGGTTACCCAAACTACTACTGTAAAGGTATAACAAACTTAAGTTATGATTTCGCGTGAAGTATAATTTGTTTCCATTTTTTTCTAGGTAATCCCTATTGGGAAATTTTTCTATTTGCTTAAAATACCATTTCAACTCTTCTGTGTTATATCTAATATTTTTTATCTGAACAATTATTTTATTGTTTCTTGTGAGTGTGACCACTGGGGGTGCTCGAAAAATCCTTCCATCCTGAGTAGGGCTGTTTCCGTTATCCCCTTCGTCTTTCCCCCACAATTGGCATTTTACACCTCCTCCTCGTAAGCACTCGAACACGCTCCTCCTTAAATAGGCCCCTTCCAGGTGCAGGTACAATCTGAGCAAAACGAACGTGTCTTCTATCTGCGGCTCCTCCACATAGTACGAGTATAAATTTGGAAGGGACAAATAATTTGAGTACATAATGCCCAGGTAGAACTGCGCATCAGCGCTTCCATAATCTGCGCACACCTTCCATATGTACAGCGCGTTGCCAACGTCCCTCTCCACGGGCTCGAGACCCAGGTAGTAGAACACTCCACTCAGCGTTAGGCACCTACAGGGGGGGGAGCAATGTGAGCCATATATGCGGTGTTATCGCCGTTAGCCGCGTCACCCGCGTCAGCGGTGCAAGAGCGCGATAAGACGCCATTAGCAGACACAGCAATATGACGCTCGCGTAACACGCTCATGCGGTACGATGACTCGGCCGACCTACCTTATATCGTAGTGCACGCATGTCCTTAGGAAGGCGAAGGACTTGGCGTACTCGCCCTGCTCCAGCAGCTCGTGCGCCTCGGAAAAGAGGTCTACATTTTGATCCTCCTTCTCATACGCACAGTGATGGAATTCACTCAGGAAGATAAACGTTAAGGCGCACACAGTGGAGAACAATTTTAAGTAACTTGATGCACGATACATGCTTCTACGCCTAAAGCATATCTCTCACGAGTGCGGAACGTATGTGGGGGGTGGTTAGAGGAGAAGCAAATATGAGATCCATGTCAATTAGGCTTAAACTGTGCTTAGGAGGCGTACTGCCTTGGGGAAAATATGTGTACAATTTATTTTTTTTAATCCTCTCCTATATATTTTCTCCCTCAATTTTTTCACAATTCGATATCCTTCAATATTCCCCTTCTTCCCGTTGTTAAACCATTGAAGTGTTTTTTTTTGCCACAGCTTTTTGTACAAATTATATAGGGGCGTGCGGGTTTCTGCCCGAACACTAGGGCAAGCGCATCATGCAGCGTGGCGCGGCGCGGCGCGGCTTTAGGAAATGTGAAAAATATAACTCCATGTGGTCACCCAAGTTTTTATCTCCAAAACAAATGTACACGCTTATTATATTCATTGCGCGTTTTCTTCCCACTTCTCCATTTTAAAAAAAAAAAAAAAAAAAAAAAAAAAATGTCGTTCCGTATTTCCCATTCGGCCAGAAGTTGCATTTTTTTTTTTTTTTTTTTTCCACCAATTCAGAACAGGGCGAAAATTACGTCGCTACGTTGGGCGAAAGGATATTTTCCCTCACAGCGTTATAAAATTAACCGTCTGAGTGGCCGTGCGCGTGAGAGGTACCCACAAAAATTGCTCCGGCCCAACAGCTCTAACACAACCTAATAAGCGTGTCTCCCATAGGTGCGTGACACTGGCATAATTTGTTCAACATGTTTTGTTCCTTTTCCTTTAGAATAAGTTCCTTAATTATGTAGAAAAAAAAAAACAAGAAGAAAATAACAGATAAAATAAAAATGCCCCTGTAAAAGGGGGCAGTAAAAGAAATGGCAATATGTATAAGAATAGAGTTGGAAAAAGAGAGTCCTATAAATGATCAGTTGGGGGACACACACCTACACTTGTGTGTGCGTACATAAAAGCCCGTTATGCTTTGTTAGGGTATCTTTTCTTTGCCCACAACGTGGAGAATAAACCCCACGTTTGCAGTTTTTCCTTTTCACGACCTGCGCATGTTGCCAATTTGTACGAGTCCTCACGTGTTGATAAAGCCTACGGGGACACATCGCCCCGGAGAGTCCACACAAACTATAGCCGCCTTGAACTACGCGTAGTTCGGGTAAGTCGCTCACATTACTCCGCACTTGAAGTCCCTTTGGTCATCCAGTCTTCTGCACAAATGGGAATATGCCACCAGGGAGAGGGAGGAGCCGAGGGACCCAACGGAAAAACATACAAAACAGTCTGCATATTTTCCGTAATGCATATGTTCAGAGTAAGGAATCTCCACTGAGCCACAATGTACCTCTCGCATTTAATGAATGGTTCATTTATCTGCTTCATATATTCTTCCGTGCCTTCCTCCAGATGCTCAGGTGGGTATATTACGCATTGCAGTTGGCACACGTAGACGAAGGTCTCCTCTGAGTTGTCGTTATGCAATAACGATGTTCCATGGGTCGTATTTTCTTCAACAGGTGCTGCCTCCGCCTTTAGCTTCTCTTTTACATTTAGTAGTATTGCAAAATTAGGACATAAAAAACTGCTACCCATTTGTGCCTCAAGAACTTTTGTGTACTCCTCGAGCGGTTTGAAATACAATGTATTATGTTTATTTGGTGGGCCCCATATTTTCCTCTGCACTACTTCTTTAATTTTGAATAACCCTTCTCGCACTTTGTTGTAGTCTGTGTGATATGTATATGATCTCTGCTCTTCGTCTGATAATTCTTCTTCTTCATTGAGTGGACCTGTCTTCTGCGCCTTTTCTCGTAAACCATTTTCCTTCCCCTTGTCTGTCCGCTCTACTTCCAGTAGGCTACTCGCCATCCCCTTCACGTTTATATGATGTGTGTATCCTGTGTTGTCGCCCCAGGAGCCACTCTGATTCCCCTTGCCCAACCTCCATAAGTCCCTCTTAGGAATTAAAAACATTTTGATATCCCTCAGCTCGACAATTTCTATGGTGTTAATTTTGTCTAGGTTATTCCGTTCGGTAAAAAAAAAGTTATTGTTAAAAAGTATTTGCATGTGTTTTAAATGTCCCTCCTTGAAATACACATACCTACCGTCTACCTTGTAGGGTAACAGTTCATATATTTCGCTAAGCACATCGCTTATGGGTTCGTCCTGAGAACACTCTTCAGGGTACACCTCATTATGCATTTGGCCATCTTCTCTCACCCCCTTGATGGTACTAATAAGAGTCCCCCTCAGCAGCGATCGAACCTTCTTCAGATATTGTAACTTGCGTTGAGCAGCAGTCCCTTCGGCTGATTGATCCTCCATCTCGGAGACCATCCCCGTCAAGCCGTACTTCCTATACATGTGAATAGCTTTTTGTTTCAACCCGTAGGTTATAAAAAAGTTAAAATAAAAACACACAGTGGGAATTACCTCCAAAACGTTTATACCTTTCAGCCCTTCGCGATATTGGCACCCAAGGGAGCACATGTCCCTTTGCCAAGGCTCTCGCAAGTGTTCCCTCCATTTCTTCTTCAAAACAAAACAATAGTGATGGCGGAAAAAAAAGTTTTCAATATTATCTATCAGATCTACAAGATTTAAAAAAATATATTCAACATTTTTCATTACATTCTCCTGTACACATATTCTTATGCACATTAGGATGAAGCTGTTAACCGACTTGCTCAATTCTTGTTGCACACATTCGTTCAAAATCATTTGGGTTTTTTTTACAAAGTAGAGTAGCTTCTCCGTCACACAGAGTACTTGTTCCAGCAAAATTTCTTCACTATTCCGAGGGGCACTTTTTTCTTCTTCGCCTAGACACACATCTGTGCAGTTACCTTGCACATGTTTGTTCAGTATTGCGCATTTGTCACTCCGTTTTGTTTCCGCTTTTATCTCCGCTCCGTCGCTTACTCCGTGGCATTTTTTACAATGCGCAAAGTGTACGTTGGTGGGAGTATTCCCTTCCTCATGTGCACTGTGCTTTTCCCCTCTCGCTGCATCCCTGGTTGAGTTTATTTCTTTTTTTTCCTTTGTACATATGTTACCATTCATTGCATATTCCACACTGGTGCCTTCTTCGAATGGACCCCCCACCTGGTGCACTTGACACGTGGTTACTAATGCTTCCCTCACATGAACGAGTCTCTTTTTCAATTCCCTCTCTTCTACACATGATGGGGACAAAAGTTCCACAAACCGGGTTATGCTATCCACCCCTTCAATGTAGCCAATTTGGGTTCTACCCTTTTGTGGGTTCAAGTCATCGGAGAAAGGGCGCTTCGGTTTACAAGTGGCGCTTCTTTTATGAAGTAGACTCTTTGTCCTATGTTGCGATTCATATGGGAGGGTCTCCACGAATATGCAATCTGTACACCCGAGGGCATCCCCAAAAATGTAGTACTTGTTGGAGTGTCTATCCATTCCTAGCAGATGCACCTGAACATCGAAATGTTCACCGACCCGTTCCACATAGCTCTTTCCCTCACGTGAGAGGTGGCTTCTTACATACCCTCGCTCGTTGCTCACATTACTTCTGCCCTTCTTTAGGGCTCCCTTCGTATATATATCCCTCGATAGGACCCCATTAGAAGAAGCATTATTATGTGTACCCTTCATATTTGTCCCCAGAAGGACACCCCCATTTACCTTTTCTCCCTCCCCTTTGAGAATACTACATGGTATTGAATTTATAAAAAAAGTGAGGAGTTCTATTTTGTCATTTGTACTTAGCATTTCGAAGGTCGCACTTTCTTCACACAGGAAATCTAAAGTGGCTAGCATATCTTTTCTACAAGGAGTTTTTTTGCTAGCAAAATAATTTTGAGCCTCATTAGGAACCCAACTCATTTTGTATTTCTGCATTTTTATCTTTTGTAATTCCCTACACCATTCAGAGATGGTTGTTCTCTCCATCTGTCGTTCTTCGTCTTCATTTGTTTCATCACATGGAATGTACATATATGGTTTCCATAGTGAATTAAATTTGGCGTAAGCAGACTTGTTTTCCTTTATAGTTAATTCACTGGAGGCGTCTTCCCATTGCTCGTCATTACCGTGACCACGGGCATCATCACCACCATCACGGCCATCACCACCATCACGGCCATCACCACCATCACGGCCATCACCACCATCACGGCCATCACCACCATCACGGCAATCATCACCACCATCACGGCAATCACCACCACCACCATCGTCATGTAAGAAGGAGTGGTTAATTACATAGCACAACATGAAAAGGCATTTTTTTAAATATATGGGCCACGTCACGTGGTCTAATAACCTCAAGTCTTCACACAGATCGAACAGTTTTTTCTGTTCATTCCTTTCTGTGAAAACATCTAACAACATTTTTCCATAAGCATTGTTCTGAACGTCTCTCTTGTGTAGGATGAAATGGGGAGGGGGGTCACTTTGAATAGTTGTCTCATCGCTCTGTTTTTCTCCAACTGGTTTTATTTCTCCGTTTGCGTTTCTCCTGTGGCTTCTACAATCCTTCTCCTCTGCATCTCCTACTGGTGCATATCCCCCGTCAACTCCTATCCCCTTTCCACAGCATGTTCCGCATTTTTGCTGTTCATGTTGGTAGTTCGTTCGTGAGGAATCTTTTCCCTTCACGAACTCATCATTAGCACTTGAGCCATTCCCTGAAGAAATTTTTTCCGCCCCCGAAATGTTACCTTCTTCTTCACTTCTTCCCCTTGCACCCCCAGTGAAGCGTCTCTTAATTGGGAAATTTAAAATTTCGCTCAGCATAGGATCTTCCAAATGGTCCACAATATAGTAGGAGGACCAGTTGGTCCCTGGACCCCCGTTACCAAATATATCATTTCCTTTCTCCACGATGGAGTAGCATCTTCCATGCCGATCAATTTTCAGCGACCTGTACAAGACGAGCACTATTACCCTCATTATTTCATTTATACAATTATTTTGTCTTCTCTCACAATTTGTTACCCCCTTAAACGTGACGTGTTTTTTGTCCCCACAGATATTTCGAAGACGTGATACAAAATCTTTACTTTTGTACAGATGCTCATTAGGTAGTATCCTTTGCAGAATCATTTCTCCAACCTTTTCTTTACTAAAGGTACTTGTACTTTGTAGGAGTGCATGGTTCAGTTGGCTAACCGTTATGTTGGCATGTGTCACTTGTTTATATGTGCAAAGGAACACCCATATGTTCAGCACCGATTCGTGTTTCAGGGGGTCAATCAAATGGAGAGGAAAATAATTTTCATGCGCGGTGTGGCAAATGCAACGTATGGCGGGGAGTTCCACCCACTTCGCCCCATTCTCCCTTGTGTGGTTTCCCCCCTCGCTGTGACCTCGCAACGTGTTTATGTCTTCCCTCGTGAGGGCATTTTGTTTGGTGTCTCTCCCTCCTTGGGGACAAAAACTGGACGAGGCAACGTCGAAATCTTCCATAAAAACATGTTGCCTACCCCACTCCCCCTTCTCTTCCGTCTTTGCCTTACCCCTGCACCCACACGAGGGCTCATACTTGTCTACGTGCCCCTTTTGGCTCTCCACGAAACTTCTAAAAAGGTAAAAGCGAGCCATCTTCTTCGAAGAGGTATCATACATTCCATTTGCTTTGCAGTGTAGGAGAGCGTCTGAGCATAGCTGGTCGTTGATCGAAAGGGAGCACATCCTTGTTAACAATTTCATTTGTTGCTTCTTCCAATGCTCTAATTTAAACTTGTGTGCTAGGATCTTCATGAAAGGAGTGCAAAGCAAACACTGTATATTGAAACCCTGTGTTAATAATTTCATTTCCTTTTTAATAAACTTGTACAATCTGATAATGACCTTTCTGTTACACTTGTATACAGCGTATGGTGCACCCCATGTGCATTTCTTGCTGATGGTTCCATCTGGCATGGTGTGAACACCTGTGCCGCTATATTCAGACAAGCTTACACTTACCATGGAGGTCTCTTCTTCCTGTTTCCTTTTCCCCTTTCTTCCATTTCTTCTCATGTCGCAGGGTTCATTCATTTTGCAAGGTACCTGATCCGATGAGGGGTAACAACCATTTGGGTGTATTCTCCACGATGCAGAATCGCCTTCTTCTTCGCTACTCTCCATTGAGTATGTTCGTTCAGTTAGCCTTTTCTTCGTCTCCTTCTTCTCTTGCTTCTCCCGCTTGTTCTGCTTCCCCACCACTTCCTTCTGCTCCTTCTTCATCCTTCTGTACTTCCCTCCCTGCTTCGCCTTCCTCATCTTTTTACTAATACATTCATACAGGGTTAAGTGGCCCACTAGTTCCTTGTAGGTAAGGTTAGGATACAGCTGCAAAGACTTCACAATTCTGGTGGTAACTTCAAACTTCAATCTCACTTTGGTGAACATAGAATAATATTTATCGTGTACTCTGTCTAGCTTGTAACGATTGTCATTCTCTGAGACTACGTAGATGTAGGGGGTGATGCTGGCGGACGTTCCATAATCAATGTACCATTCCTTTATTACGATTCTCGCATTGATACAAAGCAAGTGTCTTTTTATCTTGTGGTTAATAAATTTTTTTTTTCTTGTTTCTGCATCTTCCTGCTTTCTTCTATACTTGCGTTTTGTTTTCTTCCCAGGCTGCCCCAATTCCTCTGCCATTCCTTGCGCCATTTTTCCTACCACTTCCTCCGTCACTGCATTGCCCACTTCACGCCCCACTTCATTGACCTCCCCAACCGCCTCCTCGGCATCCATGTATGCGCATAGATTCCCCCTCTTCTTCTCCTTCTTCCTTACAATATGCGTTCTGTTCGTATTAAACAAATTAACTGCGGGGTGGCTGAACTGCTTCAAAACATCTGCACCATACTCATAACTTATATTCATTATCTTGGCATACATGATGACCGATTTGCTTTTCTTTCTGGATCCAGCGCGATGGTGATAGTTCTCTACATTGGCCACTTGCCCCACGTGACCTTTTTTTATCACCTTGTCTGAACTACTTGGGTGGCTCCCATTTGGCTCATCCGCCGTAGGGGTACTGCAATTTTTTTTGGTCTCCTTTTTGCATGTCTTATGCTCGGGTTCTGGGGTGGACTTCACCTGGCGCTTGGTGTGGAAGCTGCAACTATGCCCATCGCCATCGCTTGCGGCGTCTTTGCCCCCATCTTGACGCACTTGCCCGTTTCCCTTCCAAGGGAGGTGGCATGGTTTCTCCTCCTCACCCGTGTCGGCACTTGTGTCATCATCGCTGCTGCTGCTTGAGCTGATGCTCATCGTGCTGTGGTCCAGATCATCTAGAGAGACCATCTGCACATCTTCCTCATCGTAAAATAAAAAGTCTTGTGCATGCGAAGAAATACTTCCGTCCACTTCTGTCCACTGAAAATCACTTGATATCTGCTCCTCCGAGAAATATTTCTCCTCGAACTTTTTGTATCGGGCTTCGCTGTCCAGCAGCACTTGTTTGTCCTTTTTCAGCGTCTTGTATTTTCTAGGGGTCTTTTTGGGTGTAGCGGCCTTATCGGGGGTAGCGGCCTTATCGGGGGTTGCGGCCTTATCGAGCGTAGCGGCCTTGTCGCTTTTCTCTTCCTTCTCTGCCCCCTTGGGGGGGTTGTTAAACGAAAAGACAAAATTTCTGAACAGTCCATGATTTTGGTAAAACTTCTTCTCCTCCTTTAATGGCTTCTTCATTTCCTTCTTCACCAAGACGCGCTCCTCCGCGATGGCCACTTCTTTGCTGTGTTGTGGGACGGCCGCGGGGGTGCGTGACACACTATGGCGACCATTCTGTACGACCCCCTCCATATCATCATTCCGCATGCTACCTTCATTCTGGTCATCGCGCCGCTCGCAATACGCATCGGTACTCTCTCCATTGTCTTCCGTCCGATCGCTCCCTTTATGGGGTGACTGCACTTCTCCGCTGGACATGGCCTGCATCGACCAACGCGCAGCACATTCGTTTTTCCCACACTGCCCTTCCCCTCTGATAGTCCCTCTTTCTACTGCATTTTCAAAATAGTTTTCATCACTACTGTTATGATTACCTATGTGGGGAGAACCCGGAAGTGGGTGATCAGGCAGGTGTCTCCCCACTTCTACCTCATTCCTTAAGTTAGCTGCCTCACTCAATGGTAACTTCCTTATCTCATACCCCTCTTTGCGCACTTCCGAAACGCCGAGATGCTCATGACATGATTTACCATGCGATGTTTCATTCATTTCTAATTTTCTTCTCTTGCTTCCACTAGGGTGAATAAGCACGTCGTCCTTCTCCGTTACGTCTGTACGAATGTGTGCACTGTCCACATGCGCCACATGTGGACTTGTCCTCAGGCAGGTACATGCTTTATTAGAGCCATCCAACAAATTCAAATTTTTATCACAGGGTTTTTCCTTCCTCATATGAAACCCTTCTTCATTAGCACTTGCGTTAAGTAGTCTCTTTCCGCCACGTGGGACACGTTCCTTCTGTCGTACTTCTCGGTGCAGTGGTGCTGTAAGAGAAGGGGGATCCCTGTCAGGTGCGTGGTTCGGCATATCTCCTCTCATTTGTAGGTCGAAATTGTCCCCTTGGGAGGGATTGCCTGCACGAAGTGGACACACCGTAACGACACAGTGAGCGTTGTTTGCCACCCCCTTGGTACTGTCCCCGTCCCGCTGCTGTTCTCCCTTCATTTGCGAACAATGCGCGCGGCGCACTTTGCATTCCTTCAGAAGATTTTGGAAACAAAAATAAACGTCCGTGCTGTTATCGTCGCCATCAGCATGGTCTGCAGGATGAACACCATTTAGACCATTCGCCCCATGCGCCCCATTTGCCTCCACGCTTTGTCGATCCACTGCGCGCAAAACAGTATGCTTCCCACCACCATTCATTCTATCTGCAGAATTTGTGAGAACCCCTTCCACAACAGGTTCCCTACACTGCATCAAATCAAGGTGAGGAGAATTTTGTTTCGTTTTTTTTCCACAACATGTGTACTCTCTACTAGGGTTCAGACTTGCATTCCTCTTCTTCAAAAGATGTCGAGAGAAACTTAAGTTCGAATTCAAACTGAGTCCACTTGTATTTTCATTTGTATCAGTCACATGGTTAGAATCATTCATGAAGCCATTTGGAACAGACACATGTCGTGAGAACACAACTGGGTCACCATCATTATGAATCTGTTCTTCGTAGACAGCTCTGTACATATCACCTATGGAGTTATAAACAGTATGATCTCCTCTCACTCTATCAATATGGATGTGGTTTCCATTTATCACTTTTGCTTCTACATGGTTACCCCTTTTCAAAATGGCTGCTTCTTCAAAATTAACATTTATCCCTTCTTCTTTATTTTTTCCACATCCGTTTTTTTTTTTTTTTTCGTATTTTTCTATTTTTCTGTAGTAGTTGCAGAGTGCTTTATTTTGATTTTCCTGTTCGATCATTATTAGGGGTTCTTTTTCAGACATTTCTGTTTTGCTCAGGTCTGGGTTGTCATTCATTTCACCCTGCTTGGGCCACATCCCCCCAGGGGAGCCGTCGCACTTGGCACTTTCTCTCTCCATCCCTTGGTGTGATAACCAGAAGCACCGTCACGCGAGCTGTAGCCAACTAGGCGCAGTCTCGTCCGCAGTGGATTAACGCCCTGGCAAGTGCTACCAGGCAGTTCACTACGATATTACCCCAGAGTGAAGTTTATTACACTGAGGTACACTACAGAGAAGTTGAAGTTAACTACACAGATGTACACCACAGTGAAGTTTATTACACGCAGGTACACTACACCCAAGTTGAACTACACTTTTTTTTTTTTTTTTTTTTTTTTTTTTTT